GTCCCGGGGGCCTACGAAGTGGAGGGGAGACGGGCAGCCGGGCAGTGGCCGGCGCTCCCCGGAGCTCGGACCGGTTGGACTGGACTCCGACGCTACCGCTCCCTCTGCTGACCTATTCCGGATGTAAAACACTAGGGATCGGAGTTTTGCTTGGTTTTTAATCTCATTCTAGTGACCGAGGAGCTTGCTGGCAGTGCGCTGATGGATCTATGTGAATAGGCCATTTGTTTTACCTTTTCGGTAACACTGTTCTAACCGGCTGAAACATTGCTTTCTTAGGCATTTTCTTAAAAGCTTGGTGGTTAAGAGCACGGAATTTCGAGTCAGATTTGGAATCTTGGCTCTATCACTCTTCTCGGCGTCATGGGGCTGTCACATCATCCCCGTCTCTGTAATGGTAGCTGCCCCTGGATATGTGTTATTAGGTGATTGAGAAGGATGAGCTGTTGCCCTTGCCTGAGGTTGCAGGCTGCGGTTCCCAAGCCCCAAGCCCCGCCTCAGAACCAACTGCATTTGCTTTTGACTCCTGGCCTTTCTCTAGGGTTGGGAAGAACATGGAAAGTGACCTCCCTGCCACGTAACTCAGAAGAGGGGTGCCCGTAGCCAAAAGTTTCTTCAGCATACGTGTAAAAGAAATGTTTTTCTTCCATCTAGGAAGATGTTACCGAGTACTTCAGTGAATTCCTCAGTGCAGGGGAACGGAGTCTTGAATTCCAGGGATGCAGCAAGACACACAGCCGGAGCGAAACGCTACAAGTATCTGAGAAGGCTTTTCCGCTTTCGGCAGATGGACTTTGAATTTGCTGCCTGGCAGATGCTCTACCTGTTCACATCCCCACAGAGAGTTTACAGAAATTTTCATTATCGAAAACAGACGAAGGACCAGTGGGCCAGAGATGACCCTGCTTTCTTGGTCCTGTTAAGTATCTGGCTCTGTGGTAAGTGTGTTTGAGACAGAATTGAACGCTTAGCGTTTCTGATTAGACTTTTTATTTGTTATAAATGTGTTGTGGGTCAGAATCTGGAAATACTGGAAACTATTTCTCCTTTTTCTGAAGCCTCAAAAATCTCGCAGGAAAGAAAATTGTAGTCTTGGTTCTACAGGTCCCAAGCAGATGCCAGAGTAAACTGTTACCCTAGGACATTGAAAAGCAGGGGACAAAATTCACTCCATATCTTTTCAACTACTGTGAACCAGTATGCAGCTGACTGTGAAAAGGGATATGAAACTGGAAATTGCATTTCAGTCAGGCAAATCCAGAGTGAGACTTGTAAAAGTATTGATGTGAACCTGAGAAACTGAAGTTCTCCAATTCCATAATGCAAGGGTCTCATTTACCTGTAGGGTGTTGAGGTGGGTAAGATATTGAAGTTTACAGGGTGTTTTGCACCTTAACTGGACTTAAGGTATGTTAGTGCCTTCTCTAGACTGGCGTTCTCTAGACTAGGCCACCGTGGTGAATCAGCCTGGCAGGGGCCCACCTCAGGAAACTTCCAGCTCTCTCAGTGGCCACGCTGTGTTCCAAGGTGGTGTTCACACATCTTGGGAGTTTTGTATACAGACCTGTCTCTCCCACTAGCCTGGGCATCTGGAGGGCAAGGGATGTGTTCTGTATTTCCAGAACCTAGCCGAGTCCCTAAATGAATCTTGTGAATCTTTCTTTCAGTGTCCACTATAGGATTTGGCTTTGTGCTGGACATGGGATTCTTTGAGACAATAAAGCTTCTCCTTTGGGTTGTATTCATAGATTGTGTAGGCGTTGGTCTTCTGATAGCAACTTTAATGTGGTAAGTACCATAACTGGTTTTTCAGATACTGTTGTAGCATCTCCATTTGTTTGCTTCAGAGCTACAATGGCAGCAGATGGAAATTGAAACCAAGGTAGAGTCACTGAATGATCGATTTTGACTGCCAGGATTATTACAATTTGCCCTCCTGTGTTGCCACCTAGATCAGAAAATAAAGACTGGTTTATATTGTCAAATATAGCAAATAATTGAAATAATTATGTTTTGAACCCAAAATATCTGAGATAGGTCTCAATTTAGAAAGTTTAGTTTGCCAAGGTTAAGGACACGCCGGTGACACAGCCTCAGGAGGTCCTGAGGACATGTGCCCAAGGTGGTCGGGGCACAGCTTGCTCTTAACACATTTTAGGGAGATTTGAGATATCAGTCACCATGTGTAAGAAGTACATTGTTAGCCGGGCACGGTGGCTCAAGCCTGTAATCCCAGCACTTTGGGAGGCCGAGACGGGCGAATCACGAGGTCAGGAGATCGAAACCATCCTGGCTAACACGGTGAAACCCCGTCTCTACTAAAAAATACAAAAAACTAGCCGGGTGAGGTGGCGGGCGCCTGTAGTCCCAGCTACTCGGGAGGCTGAGGCAGGAGAATGGCGTAAACGCGGGAGGCGGAGCTTGCAGTGAGCTGAGATCCGGTCACTGCACTCCAGCCTGGATGACAGAGCCAGACTCCGTCTCAAAAAAAAAAAAAGAAAGTGGGGAAAGCAGGTTATAGTTAGATCAGAGACAAATGGTTGCATCCTTTTGAGTCTTTGATCAGCCTTTCACTGAACGCACAACTTACTTGTGAGAGGCAAGTACAGGAATACTCATTTATGCCTTAGTCTGGCTCAGTGAGTCTGCATTTTTAGATGAACAATGGGGCAGAGGAAGCAATCAGGTAAACACTTGTCTCAGGTGAGCAGAAGGAGGACTTTCTGTCCCACACCTGTAAAGATAAGCTATCTTAGGAATAAAATAGGAGGCAAGTTTGCCTGACACGGTTCCCAGCTTGACTTTTCCTTTTGGCTTAGTGATTTTGGGGTCCCGAGATTTATTTTTCACATACTAACAAAATCCCTGGTTTTGCAAAAATGTTACAGATTGAGCCAGTTCTGCCTAAGTTGTCTGGATGATAGCATGGTTTTCTGCATTTGTCAGGAGAGACCACTTCTTGATATTCATTGCGTTTAAATCCATTTCGATCTAAAGGGTTATTTTGTGGAATCTTACTTTGAATCTTTGCATTAAATGAAGTATACTTGAAAAAGAAGGATTTTTTTTTAAACTTCTCATGCCTTCCTACTGAGAATAAAACTCTCTAACCCTCACCCCCCTCTGTCTCTCTGTCACACACACACACACACACACAGACACACACACACAGACACACACACAGACACACACACACACACACACACAGACACACACACACAGACACACACACACACACACACACACAGGCTTTGTCAAAAGGGTTCTCAGTCTGACTTTGGTTGATTTAACAACAGCAGTGTACTGAGGACAAATCTGGTGTTTAAATCCTTCTGTGTGGTTGGCATGCTGGATGAAGGGCAGGGGATGTGGCCAGTGATCTCAGTGGAGGACCAGTGGTTGAGTGGGCGTGGTGGTCATTGTAGTGAACATTTCAGTTACAGAGAGACCCGGGTCCAAATGCCAACTTAGTTATCTGTGAAACCCCCTTTTTTTTCTTTATTATTATACTTTAAGTTCTAGGGTACATGTGCATAACGTGCAGGTTTGTTACATATGTATACTTGTGCCATGTTGGCGT